TAGCATGAATTAATGGACATGAGATGTCTGGATTTATCAAATAAAATTAAATGGCTTATTTTATTGCCTTTTCTGTAAGGATGAGAATGTGCCACCACCTGTTATGAGTACACCAGACTTATTAGCAGTTGTATTTCCTCAAGGCAAATCAAAAAATTGGCATTCACATTGAGGACTGCACAGCTATGGTAGAATTAATGGTGACCAGAGAGTTGGCTTCTACTGACATCTTAAAAATAAGATGCTTACTTAGAATTGCTGATTGAAGTTTCTGATGCTTACTTAGAATGAGGCCCCTGTTTAAAGATATAGTATTGGGAGCCGAAAGTAACTGGCCCTACTCAGTCCATATGCATTCTTGTTATGTGTCTTATTCTCCTAGAATGCAATTTAAACAAAATCCTTTTGATGATGGTTTGTATTTTCAAGTTCCTTTCATTTTATCATTTTAGCAGATCTGAAAAATAATTTTATAAGCTCATTATTACATTGGATGCATGAGGTAACCAAGAAATACTGATGTGCAACAATTTGCTAGAGAACACACAGCTGATAAAAAAGCACTTCTAGGATAAACTTCCAGTTATCCAGGCCTAGTTTCCTTCCCATTGAAATACTTGCAGCAGCAATGACATATCAGATAAAGGGCGAGTATCCAAAATCTATAAGGAACTCACCAAACTCCACACCCAAAAAACAAACAATCCAGTGAAGAAATGGACAGAAGATATGAACAGATACTTCTCCAAAGAGGACATCCAGATGGCCAACAGACACATGAAACGATGCCCAACGTCCCTCCTCATCAGGGAAATACGAATCAAAACCACACTGGGATACCACCTCACACCGGTCCGAGTGGTGAAAATGAACAAATCAGGAGACTCTAGATAGTGGTGAGGATGTGGAGAAACGGGCACCCTCCTACACTGTTGGTGGAAATGTAAACTGGTGCAGTTCCCCTGGAAAACAGAGTGGAGGTTCCTCAAAAAATTAACACTAGAACTCCCCAATGGCCCAGCAGTAGCACTGCTAGGAATCTACCCTCGGGATACAGGAGTGCTGATGCATAGGGGCACTTGTACCCCAATGTTCCTAGCAGCACTCTCCACAATAGCCAAAACATGGAAAGAGCCTAAGTGTCCATCAATGGACGAATGGATCAAGATGTGGTTTGTCTATACAATGGAATACTACATGGCAATGAGGAAGAATGAAATCTGGTCATGTGTAGCAACATGGATAGAACTTGAGGGTGTTATGCTGAGTGAAATAAGTCAGGCAGAGAAGGACAGATACCATATATTTGCATGTATAGGTGGATTAGGAGGAACTTAATGGAGGACCATGGGGGAGAAGAAGGAGAAAAATAGTAGGGGAGAGGGAGGGAGGAAAACCATGAGAGACTCTTGAATACTGAAAACAAACTGAGGGCTGATGGGGGTGGAGGAGAGAGAAAGGGGGGGTGTTGGGTATGGAGGAGGGCACTTGTTGGGATGAGCACTGGGTGTTACATGGAAACCAACTTGACAATAAACTATTAAAAAAATAGAAATTTTAAATAGTATAATAGTATAATAGTAGTATAATAGTATATATATATATACTATATGTATATACTATATATATATATATATACTATATATATATACTATTATATACTATATAGTAATATAATAGTATAATAAAATAATAGTATTTTAAAGATACCAATGTTAGGTTGCAGAGTTTATGACAGAGTCCGGTTTGAAAGATAACTGGAAGCCAAATATCTCTATGCTTGTTTATAGTAGAATAACTTAGTATTTATTGGGTGTTCATGGTATGTACAAGGCACTATGTTAATTATTTTTGTGGAGAGGAAGTTTAAAGGAATAAATAACTTGATAACTTTTGTCAAGATTCTTGGTATATTTTGAGAAGAATTAGATTTCTATAGCTTTTATTTCTCAGGACTCTCTTCTTTCTCTTGACTAAAATTGTATGCATTGCACAAGTTTTAGTCTTTGGTTATTTCTGAGATTTGCTTTCTCTAAGATGAGCCAATCTTATGGCCTTAGTTGTCACATGACCCAGATTCAATATTGGCCTCCACCACTTACCCATTACTCACAGTCAGGGCCATTATTTCTAACCATCCATAAGACATTGCTTCTTGGAATTTTTGCCATCTCCTCAAACTCAACAGATTAAAAACAGAAGTCATCATGTCCTATACTCCCCACTCCATCCCCAAATTACCAATTGCTATGTATAGTGTATCACCACTTCCCAGATCCCACAGGTTCAAAATTTTAGGGACAGCTCTGACTTTCTTATGCTGCCTATATCTAATCACTCACCAATTTCCACCTATTATTCCTCTTAAATGTCTCCTTGAGTTTTTCTCCATTCCATTTCCACTGGCACCAACTTTACACTATAGCTTAATTAATTTCTACTCTTTAAGTGGTTTCTCCATCTCCAGTTTTTGCAAATGTAGTCAGGCCTATGAAAGTCTACTAGATTAATCTACTAAAACTGTTTTTCCATCATATTCTCATTTATTAAAAGTTTGCTGATATGATTTCCCATTAAAAAGTGCCTGGAATTCAATGTCTAATAATCTGGTCTTACATTTCTATCCAAATTTATTTACTGTTGCACCTCAACTCATCACTTTTACCTAGCCAAATCAGGTCCTTTGGTGTACACTACAGGTACCAAATTCACTTTTGATGCAATGTATTTCTGACATAATTTCTGTGACTAGAATTAAATTGAAACTACATACATTGACTACTTACTATGTGGACAGAAAGTTTGTTTAGCATGGTCCCATATCATAGATGTTCATTTAAGCCTATCTCATTTTATCTACTCTATGAAGCATTCTCCATTCAGCAGAGCCCACTATATTTCTTCCTTAAATCCCTTTGCCATTAAAAATATAATATTGGTTTACTGTCTCATATTTTTATGTTCTGTAGGTCTTGTTTCACCACCAGCATTGTAAGTTCCCCAAAAGCAAGAACTTTATCTTAGCTTTGTGCCACATACTGTATTGAGCTTAACTGACATTTGTTTAACTGGATTACAACAGATTTAAGATATTTTAATGAGAACATAAGAAATACAAAATGGATCAGGGTAGAGGTCAAGGCAGAGCTATGTTATTTATGAGATTATGATAGTTACCTTTCATGGCATCAAATCCACAAGATTAGATATGTCCCTTAAGACTCAGTGCCATCCGTTTAATCCCTTATTATCAGTCAGTGATTTGCAAAGGCAAATTTATAATTTCCTGCACCATGGTAAAATCTTGCTTTTATCCCAATTAAGTACTTTCTAAACACATCAACAGTTTGGTTAAGAGTAAGAGAGAAAAAGTAGTAGAAAATGAAATTGATGATCCTGGACTAGGAAGACACCAAAATACTAGATTTATAGACTTGATTCAATCTGAAAACTTTCTTTAACCTATTCTGTTTGGGTTCACTGGCTCCAAGGCTGATTTATTTCATTTACAGGAATTGATTAGCTAGTGCAGTCATTTAAATATTTTGGAGACCTGGGAAACAGTATTTTAAAAAAAATTTTAAATGCTTTTTGTTTATTTCTGAGAGAGAGAGACACAGCATGAGCAGGGGAGGGTCAGAGAGAGAGGGAGACACGGAATCCGAAACAGGCTCCAGGCTCTGAGCTGTCAGCACAGAGCGCTACGCGGGACTCGAACCCACAAACCATGAGATCATGATCTGAGCTGAAGTCAGACGCTTAACCGACTGAGCCACCCAGGCACCCCGAAACAGTTTTTACTAAAGGTGTATTAAGGATGTAAATGTAGTATCTGAGGTCATTTATTTGATATGCAAACAGAGAACACCTATAGTTCTAATTGGACAATTAATAGTAAAACAACAACAGAAAATATTTTTGAATGATTGCAATAGATACGAAAACTTAAAATTATCTAGAAGCAAATTTCACTAATATATTTGAAACGCAGTACAGTCTGACGTCCAGGTTTACTTAACATATTATTTTAGAATAATCAGCGGATAAGCATGTGTCATGGCTTCTCTCTAATCTTCAAAACAATCAGATTACTGAAAGGCAGAATGGCTAAACGCAAAGTTTTTTCTTTCCTCTTTTATCTAGGAACGGAACTCACCAACTCATTTGTTTACCCTCGAAAACAGCTTCTTTGCTGTTAAATAGAATTATGCTCCTGGTCAAATATTTTCATTGAAATGTATACAGTGTTGGCTCTGTGTAAACCTGGTCTATGTCTAAGTTATTAAATAAATCATGTAATTTCCTTATATCCATTTATAGTTGTGAGAGCTTTCTATTTGCAGTCGCTAGTTAAAACCTGTTAGAAAACTTGTTAATGCTTCTGAGTCTATTTCTTTATCTGCAAAACAGAGATAGTAACACTTACCCTGTCTAAAAGGCAGGATTATGAGAGGTTCAAGTGGGATAATGAATGTGAAACTAGTTTGTGAATAAGCTAGGTCATTCTTCCCTATTTGTTTTACTTTTATCAGCAATGTGGAAACCTGTCAGCTTGACCAAACTTGAGAGTTTGTATGCATCCTCAAGACAACCCTTTATCGTTTTACTTTCTATAATGAAGGAAACTGCCACTACAGATTAGAGAAACTCCACTGAGCCCTTGAAGTAAGATTCTAAATTGTGCCTTATATTTCTAACTTAACTGCAAAGGTGCTGGAGGCTTGGGTAGTGTCCCCTCTATATTTTGCCATATAGAGCCCCAGCAGAAGCACTGAGTAACACTTGTTGATAGACTGATTGATTATCAAATCTCTGGCCAATAAGTAAAGTAGAAAGAATTCATAGTAGCAGCCTAATTTAAAGCAGGCAAGGCAGATTAGCTACGGTCAAACTCCTGGGAATTTGCTAAAATCCCCAAAAGCCAAAAACCAAAATGCTACAAAGCAGAATTTTACTACAAACTATTTTAGTCATAGCATTGAAACATCAAATTTCCTTACCTGCTACCTTGAAGATTAACAGTTTAGGATCCTTTTGCATTTATTCTCTGAAGCAAGCTCCAAGTCTTCAGTAAATCACCCCTTGGAGAGCTAACCTTCTTAGTGAGCTGCACAGTGAATCTGAATACTTTGAAGGGTCCTGAAAGCACACTCCATTCACAGGGTGCCTGTTCTTTAGGCAGGCTTCTTTGAAAAGATGGGTTGCTGCGATTTTCAAGAAGAGAGAGGGCAGGGCACATATGCTAGCCAATGTATACAGATTCTTCTTCCTCTTTCAGATTAGTCCTCAAACTGTAAAGCACGTCTAAATTTGGCTTCTCTGGTGCAAAGTGGGGGAAGGGAAAGCAGAGGGAGGGAGGAAGAATAAAAACTGGAGACTTGCAGATTGTTGTCTATATAAATGAGATTTTTATGCCTAGCACTAGCAACAGAATACCCAGGAAATCTTGTAGCTGCTCTGAGATGTGAAGCAGGAAGAAGTTATACTCTGTGAAACTTAGTTCTAATTTTCATGACTTAAGGGTGGTTTAGAGTATTTGTAGGCGGAGAAAGATAATCCTACCAGGATATGCTAATCTAACCGCCATTATGTGAAAATTGATTTTAGACAAGATAAATTTCGCCTCTCTCTCTCTCTTTCTCTCTCTCTCCCCCTTCCTCCCACCCTCCCTCCCTCCCTCTCTCTCTTTTTCTCTGTCTCCCTCACCCTCCTTGTATCTCTCTTTTTCTCTCTCTGTCTGTTTGTCTCTCTCTCTCTCTGTCTCTCCTTGATTATATTTGTGGCTCTATCCACTCTCTAAAAAGTCTTTTTCTTTGTGGTGAATTATGTTCTGGAAAATAGTTGTCTTAGTTTGAGTGTGGTTCCCCCAAATCTCCATGAAAGACATTGCTTCCACTGGATTAAAGGTAGTTTTGTTTCCATCACACCGAGAATGACCTGGAATGACTAGGCTTGCCATCAGTGGTCCTGTGTTAGGAATTTGGAAGGCAGGTAAATACTCTTAGATCTTGGTTAGGCTCTGGAGTGTTGGAAAAATAGGATGCTCTGACTGTATTCTGGAAAATAAGGTTATGGCAGTCTGCTATGCCTTGGTTGGAGCTTGGGGTGGCACCTTGATATTACGAACAAAATAGATGAGAATTACAAGGTGTGAGTTGTTTACATCAAGTATATTGAGTTACATTAAGATGGTATATATGGGGATGGGTATAACTATTTTCATTTTAACACGTTTTAAACATGGTACCATAACTAATAATTAATAATTAATTTGGTACTCAGTAAAGCATGAGCCCAGCACAGCTCTCTGCTTACTACTTGCTGTAGAAACAAAACCAATTACTCAAACTTTGAATCTGTAGGTACCTGAATGATATCACAGGAAACTTGAGACAAATGCACTAAAAATTCTGAAATCTACTTTTTGTTTCATAGAATTCGTAGTTGTGGTAGTGGATGGGGGAGCAAATTAAAGACAGAGATAACATTTGGATCGAAGACCAGACTCTTCAATCCTCCCCTGGGGAGTTTTACTAACTAATGTGACATTATAACTAGAATTTCTTAAGCTGAATTTTGATCCCCAGAGGCCTAGGAGAAAGTTAATAAGGAGGGCAGAATATGAATTATCACTTTTTCTCTAGTCTGGACTGTTACAGTCATCTTGAGCTACAGTGGAAAAGTAGTATATACTCAGGTAAGGAAGAAAAGAGAAAGGTTTTAATATATTTGAGCTTCAATATGGCACAACAATAGCTGTGACAGAGAGGGGATGCCACGTGGTGCTCATGTGTTCTCCCCTACTTATTTCCTTCCTTAGCTGCTTCTCTGCTTCCTGAGTGATGGGAAGGGCAGTGCTCCACCTATCCACAATTGAGTCTTTCCCCTGTATAGCTTCATCAATTTATATCATGTTTGATATAATTGACAGAAAACTACTTATCTTCTTCCTTCACATCTCCATCTTTTATTTTCCTTTCTGTTTATCTTCATTACATACTTACCCTAACATTTTTCACCGTTCCAGGAAATGATGAAATGCCCAAACTGATACCTCTCTGGTGTTTTCTCTCTACTCTTTCTCACTTCCCCAGACTCTTTCAGTTCTTACTGTATTACTGAGTTGGAGAGGACCAAGTAGAGAATGGTGAAGAAGAGGGGAAATAACATGTAGTTGGATGGAGAATCTGTCATAATTAACTAAGACTTTGGTAGAAGGTTAAAGGATTTTCAGTTATATAACATTTATCCATTAACTATGAGTCACAGGATTCATAGCTTACATGAGCTTATAGAGCTGAAAAGGGCTTCAAAATAATTTTGTTTAGACTTTTTATTCAATTGACTTTCTGAGGGTATCACAGATCTAATTAATCATGTGTCCCCAGCTGTTAGCTTTCTGCCTTGTTTGTTTTGTCAACTAAATAAATCTAGTCCAACTCTCTCATTTTAGAGATGAGAAGCTAGAGAAAAAAGAGACTTTCTTAAGATGTATTCATTTCATCATAAAATCAAGAGGAGTCATTTTTTTCCTCCCAGAACTGAAATTGTTCCACAATCAATACTAATGGCACTTTGGAAAGGAAGATAACAGCACAGTGATACACACACGTACATTAATTCACAGAGACTGAGAGAGCCTTGATTCATCCTTTTGTTTCAACTCATGGAAACCCAGAGACAATAAAAATATATCAGCTTAAGCTGCGAAAATATGGCTTTCGACATTTTCTCTCTTCCTGCCTTAGGGCCCAACCCATGAGTATAAAGCAACCTCAGATTTTCACTTCTGGTGAGGTCAGGGTATACTAACAGAATTTCAGATGGATTTGAATAAAATTTGTTGTACAGAATAGCATAGACAACTTAGGGCAGATGGTACAGATCATTAAAATCAACATCCTTATATTCTGTGCTATCCAACATGGTAGCCACTAGCCAGATGTGGGAATTTAAACTAAAATGTAAATTATTGAAATAAAAAAAATTATATCTTGCAATCACACTAGCCTCCTTCCAGATGTTCATAGCCACATGTGGATAATGGCAACTGCATTGAAAAACACATTTAAAGTAGATTTTAGTCATGATCAATGGTGAAAAACTAGGAGGTTCTCCCATAAACTCAGGAACAAGATAAGGATGTCCACTCACACCTCTCTTATTCAGCATAATACTGGAAGTCCTAGCCACAACAATCAGAAAACAAAAAGAAATAAAAGGTCTACAAATTAGTAAGGAAGAAGCAAAAAAATTCACTATTTTCAGATACATGATACTATATGTAGAACTCCGTAAAAAGTCCACCAAAACATTACCAGAACTATAAATGAATTCAGTGAAGTTGCAGAATACTAAATAAGTGTACAGAAATCTATTTTGCTTCTATAACCTAATAATGCAGCAACAGAAATAGAAATTAAGAAAATAATCAAATTTATAATTTCACCCAAAATAATAAAATACCTAGGAACAAAGACTGGTGTACTCTGTAAACTCTAAAACATTGATGAAAGAAATTTAAGATGACATAAACAAATGGAAAGATATTATATATTCATGGATTGGAAGAAGAAATATTGACAAATTGCCCATGCACCCTAAAGCAAAATACAGATTTAACCCAATACCTATCAAAATACCAACAGCATTTTTCACAGAACTAGAAAAAACAGTCCTGAAATTTGTATGGAACCACACACAAAAAAAACCCAAATAGCCAAAGCAATCTTGAAAAATAAAAACAGCTCGATGTATCACAATTCCAGATTTCAAGTTATACTAGAAGGCTGTAGTAATCAAAACAGGATGGTAGTGGTATGAAAATAGACACACAGATCAATGGAATAGGGCAGAAAGCCCAGAAATAAACCCACAATAATATGGTCAATTAATCTGTGGCAAAGGAGGCAAGAATATGCAATGTAAAAAAATCTCTTCGGGGCGCCTGGGTGCCTCCGTCGGTTAAATATCCGACTTCGGCTCAGGTCATGATCTCATGGTTCTTGTGTTTGAGCCCCATGTCGGGCTCCGTGCTGACAGCTTGCTCAGAGCCTGGAGCCTGCTTCGGATTCTGTGTCTCCCTCTCTCTCTCTGACCCTCCCCTGCTCACACTGTCTCTCCGTCCCTCTCTCTCTCAGAAATAAATAAAACATTAAGAAATTAAAAAAAAAATCTCTTCAGCAAATGGTGTTGGGAAAACTGGCCAGCTATCTGCAAAAGAATGAAAGTGGACCACTTTCTTTCACTATACAGAAAAATAAACTCAAAATGGAGATCTGAAACCATAAAAATCCTAGAACACAGGAAGTATTTTCTATGACATTTGCCGTAGCAATATTTTTCTAGATATGTCACCTCAGACAAGAGAAACAAAACAAAAATAAACTGGCATGTCTGAGTAGCTCAGTTGATAGAGTCTGACTCGATTTTGGCTCAGATCATGATCTCATGGTTGTGAGATCAAGCCCTACATCAGACTCCTTGCTGAGCATGTAGTCTATGTAAGATTCTCTCTCTCCCTCTCCATCTGCCCCCCCCCTCCCATGTACTCTCTCTCTCTCAAAAAACAAAAACAAAAACAAAAACAAAACAACTATTGGGACTACATCAAAATAAAAAAGCTTTTGCACAGCAAAGGAAACAATCAACAAAACAAAGAGAAAACCTATGGAATGGGAAAAGATATTTGCAAATGAAATATCTGATAAAGGGTTAGTATGCAAAATACACAAAGAACTTATCAAACTCAACACCCCAAAATGAAGTAATCTTGTTAAAAATGGGAAGAAGGTATGAATAAACATTTTTGCAAAGAAGACATTCAGAATGGCCAACAGATACATGAAAAGATGCCCAACATCTCTCATAATCAGGGAGATGCAAATACCTACAATGAGAGATCACCTCACACCTGTCAAAATGGCTAAAATCAACACAAGGAATAACAAGTGATGGCAAGGATGTGGACAAAAGGGAGCCTTCTTGCACTGTTGGCGAGAATGTAAACTGGTGTAGCCACTGTGGAAAACAGCACGGAAGTTTCTCAAAAAGTTAAAAGTGGGACTGCAATAAAACTAATAGGCAACTGACAGAATGGGAAAAGATAGTTGCAAATTATATATTAGATAAAGTGCTAGTATGCAAAATCTATAAGAAACTCACCAAACTCCACAGCTGAAAAACAAATAATTCA